TCACTCACAAGAGAGACCTCATTACTTTTTTCTAAGCAGGACTGGAATTTTTCTTTTTGTGAAAAACAAATGACTGGTTTGAGCTTTTTCAAATCTTCTTACATGTGCCGTATCACAGAGCAGCGTGACAACTCCCAGTTTTGCTACAAAACCGGGGCCATTCTCATACTATAGAAGTTCACAATCTAAAGCAGAAATGCAAAGCAGAGGTTAACTTTCCCAATGTACTCCACTCTCTTCAACCAGTTCACCGAGTGCTTGATTTCCGATTTAATCAGTTACTTTCTATACAGCAGAAGGCTTCTGCAGGGTTTACCAACACAGGGTTAAATCACAACCACATTATTTCAGTTCTGTCAAGCCCCACAGAAGCACTCCTGAAGAGACAGCAGGTATTTAACACACAACATTTAGCAGAAGGGAAATACATGGCAACCAGGGAAATAGGCTGGCATTTAACAACTTGGAGACTCACAAGGCGTTTTGCTCCGTGGGAGGAATGTAGGTAGAGCAAACGGATGCAGTGTATCTGACAAGGGCACTACCACGTGGACTTTTCAAAGTAAGGTGCTTGAATATGATGTGGAAGAATAAAGGAAGCCATGAGGGGTTGGTGCAGCGTGACAGGAGAAGTGAGAGAAGGAGATTATTTTAGCTGCCTCGATCCAGAGGTGGCACACGGGGATCTGGGGCAGCCAGAACAAAGGGTCTGCAGCAGATGCAATAAAAAGCAATGCAGAGGGTTTCCAGAGGAAGGATGAAAGGAGAGGATGCAGTGCACAGAAGTACAACCAACTGTAAGGCAAGCTGCAGGATTTGTCAGCACGTGAAGTTCAAGAAAACAGTCCTGTGTAAAATACCACGGCATGTTGCAGGCTTATGTAGCAGGCGCTGTAAGAACTACCAGGTCTCAGGGACAGGCATTTTAGACATAAGGTAAGAAACTCATTACTCCATAAACTAAACAAGTTCGTAACAAAAGACATCTGCAATGCGAGGTAGAGGAAAAAACCCAAAAACCACAGATCGCAAAATGCAGTAACACCAGCCAGCAACTAAGCAGGTCACGAATGAAGCAGAGGCAAAATGTGCAGAAACCAAAGAGTTGTACAAATACTGTTAAAAGTTGACACCAATGACGGAAGTGAGCATGGGCTGTGGGTGGGGAGGGGAAGCCTGGGCAGGGCTCAGCAGCAGAGCTGCACTGAAACAGGTGGGAGGCCGACATGTGCGGGGAGCAGGAGCAAAGAGGCAGCCTCGATAAAGCGACAGAACTGCTGTGGGACAAGAGGTATAAAATATGTTTGCCAAGATATTTTCCACAATACACACATGCTTCCTCAGGGTTTTTAAGAGAATATTCATGGGACACATCACACCTGGCTTCTGTTTTGGGCTCATTCAGGAACTTGCCTTAAAACTGAATTCAGATAAGTCATTTTCTATCTCCGCACCTGACTTCCTTTCACCCTTACCCTGTGTTACCTATCTAGACGGTGAACTGAAGTTTGGGCTGTTTCTTCTTGTACCAAGCACCTTGCACAAAGAGAACCGATCTTACTTGAGTAAGCGAAGTGTTACTGTAATATCACAAAGGTATCATCATTTAGATAATGCTTTAGATGTTTAAACAACAAGCACATGGACAAATAAGGGTTTTTATTAAGGGACCTTACCTAGCACTGCACCACAGATGAAAACCAGTAAAATTTAGGCAAAATAATTCATGAATATGAGCTCATGAAGTTATGTTAGGCATAAAATCAAGTTGTACAACATAGTGATGGCACCAGTATCAGCTGGTCTTTAAGAAGGCCTGCTGAACAATAAAAAGATAAAATTCTCAGCTAATTACAAAAATAAACCTGCTTATCGCACGATGTTTATTTTATGATGTGATCTATACAAAAACCAGATACAGAAAAGTCAACTTAATTCCTATTTACATTTTTGCTCTGTACTGACTTAGGCAGATCTCCTAAATAAATACTATGCAGACAGCATGAAAGTAAAATTAAAGTGGAAAACAAAAGTGTTTAAAATAACAATATACAGTATAAAGATGGTTTTTATGCCCTTACAAATACTGGCATACTATCTTCTTGTGGGGAAAGGGGAAAAATGTTTATTTTCTGCTAGGAATGCAAGTACGATTGCTCAGTGCTCATACAATGTCCTTTGTACATCACAGAGTACTGCAATACCATTTTTAGGCTTCCACAGGCGGGTGCAGCTATTAATATTTCAAGTCAGCTCTAAAGCTGCAAAACGAACCCCACTGCAGAATTACCCTGAAGGCAGTTTGCTCTACGACACTGTACACCTGTTAAGTCAACATTTTTCACTACTGCTTTCAAAAGCTAATGAGTTTAATAAAAAAAGGTTAACATTTATGTAGTCCAGCATAATTACCTAGGTCATGTTCCTAAATATTGGGGAAATGTTTATTCGATTCAATCACTGTCACACTGCGACTTCGTAAGAAATACTCCCACAATAGCAGAATACTTCCCTAAGTCACCTTTCAAATGGTTTAGGTAGCCTGCAATTATTACTTTCTGGCCTATCTACTCCAGGCTAAATAATTTCAGAAAAATATAACTTAGTAAAGGTTCATCAGTTTTTGAATCATGCATCTCTGAATACTAACGTATGGTACAAAATCTGTAAGCAGTTTTTCTAGTAAGCAAAGCACAAGTCTTTCCAAAAAGCTCATGTTTTCTCGTCAATTTTTTAAATTTCTAAAATAAAATATTAAATAACCACGGTCATCTTAAAGCTTACATTAATGGAAGTAACTTGAGAACCATTAAAAAACAGAACGGATTGGCATTCAGGCAAGCTCTCTATGTAAGCTACAGCTATGAAACAATAACAAACAGATTTTCAGTTAAAAAGTTTATCAGCTATGATAAAAACAAATGGCTTCAGATTTCCATGCAATCAAATAGGTAAGTTTCAAGTAAAACCATGTTTGTAAGTTAGTAAAGCAGACACTCATGAGTCAGTATCTTCCATTTGTGTAACACAGCCTCACTCATGATCCTCAACTTCAGAATCAAAACAAAAACCTTCACAGCTGAAACTGATGCAGCTCTCAAGACCTCCAAGGCTCTTCAGGATCTCAATGGGGTGATGGAGACCATCCTGCAAAGAGGCTGATGTTTTTGTGGTGCTAGATCTCCGCCTCTTTCAAGACATGTATTGATCTGCTTGTGTAGCTTAATCCAGTTGTTCTTTTCATCAAGTTTAATCACCCACAAGCAGGCTGGAAAGTGACAGAATAGATACCGAATTCTCATCTCCCATGTGCTAAATGCGTTAAGATGGAAGTAATTTTTACATATGCCACCATTAAGCGCACTTATACGAGCTAATTCCTGTTCCATCTAAAATACAGAGTTACAAGAGATGCCAGGAAAATTTCCTGTTCAAAATAAATAATTAACGGGTACTACACAGTTACACACTAAGAAGAAATAGAGATCTGTCCTATTCACTGTAGAGCTAGAGGAATATTTGAGTTCACACTTTCCAGGTTATTGTGTCACTACATACCACAGAATGACACATCCAAATGATTGCACAAAAATACTTTAATGTTTCCAACTCTCTCACCTGCAAAGACTCTTTAATTCCCTGCTTTTGTAGGCTTACAAAAGAAAACAAAAAGGAAGTATTCATGAAATTGTCTTCCATCTTACTATATTTTCTTGAACAGGCAAAATTCAGCAGTGAAGAGGGGGTAAAAAAGAGCTGTTCTTATTTGGCCTGTGAATTATTGCCAAAACAAGGCTGCAGCAGAAGTTGTGCCTTTCCCCATTCTAAAACTCCAGCACAATGACTGAGCCACTGGTCCCAAAAACTGACTTGCTAAGATGAGCTCATGTATGTGTGCAGAGCTCTGCTGTGCTCTTGGAGGGGCTGCGATACTTCCAGACAGGTAAAGCTGCAATAGGAATGGGCTACAGATATTTCTTGTCAGTAATATTTTTGTTACTGTCTAAGGCAAAATTAGAAAATTACAGAAATCTCTGAACTATTCCACATGTTTTATCTTCCTCCTAAAAGTTATTTTTTTCCCCAGTTTTTTGAAGTCTAAGTCAGGAACTGCAAATCATTAATGAGTCTTCTACACTTCTGCTCTCTTGTTAAAATAGCAACTACTATGATAAAATGTAAAGAGAAAAAAAAAAAAAGCGTGGTGCTGGAAGAAGATCCAAAGATTATTTAAGTCAAGCCCACTCGTGGAAGCATTACAAGACTAGCTTAACAGTTCAGGCAGGTTCCCTCCCCGTTCTCTAAATCTGTCTTGAAACCTTCTGAGGAAAGGTATTCTGCAACTTCCCTACAAGCCATGTGATTAGGCTAGTGATTAGCTAGCCTTGAAGCTGTGTTCTTTTTCCCCTTTGCATTTAACCCAAGCGGGAATATTTTGCAAGCGATGTTAGCACACCCCCTAAGATGTACAGGGTAATAGACTGCCACCTTCTTACAACAATCTCATGCCTATCGAAAGATTTACGTTCCCCAGCTCTTTGCCAGACTAAACAAAAGCAGTTTTCTCAATCCTTCCTAAATCTGTTGTCATTCCTCTTATTCTCTTCCAGCTTCTTTCATAAAACAGAGTGCCCAAAACGGGGTACATTTTTCTTGCTGAGTTTCACCATCACTGAGCCAAATAAAATGGTTACTTCCTGCGTCTTGCACACAGTAGCCCTGCTAATGCAATCCTGGACCAGATCTGGCTTTTGGCAATGGCATTAGGTTGTTGACTCAGGCTCGCTTGTGTGCCACTAA